GGCTTGAAGTTAGCCAACCCCCCAAAAACCCCCGAAAGCCAAATCCTCGAACCCCCAAGCGCTGCTCAGGCCCAGCCAAAAGGATGCATCCTCGAAGGTGTAACTCGGCCCTTTTCGTTTTGTTTCACGTAGAGGCTCAAGCCACTTATAAACCTGGTGTTAATCTACTTACGACTTGCCGTAAACCCATGTGCCAAATAGTTTTGAGATTCATTATCCCCGGAACCTTCAACATGAAGCCCAGATTCATTTACGTCTAAGCCCCTGAAGTCTAAAGCGCCAAACCCAAAGCTCTAATGTCAGCCCGGAGCTTACTTAAATTATTCAACTATGGGATAATGGAGTCTCTGGGTCCAGAAAAGACAGAGAAGGAGCCTTGAACTTGAAAACCGCCTCCACGGGCGCGGTTGTGACGGATGCTATCACTATAAGGGCTGCTATCAGGCTTCATTGTTCAGGGGTCTAGGGGTTCAGGCTTTAGGGTTCAGGGCCTTAGACTCCAAAGTCTTTTCTTATTGGCTGAAATCACGTGAGCGTAAAGATCGCTCTAGAGTTTGAGGTGTACCGCTTGTTTGACGGCTTTGGAATCTCTGGGTAACATGGTAACTCCAAAGCCCAGCTACCAAACCTTCGAGCCTTGCAGCCTGCCTTCGGATGGACGAATTGACCCCCCGGTGAAACTCCTCAACCATGGCCTGAAAATTACGCATTACGTAACCAAACTTTCGCAGTCCAAACAGCATATAGCGTTTTTTTTCCGGCAAATGGAGTAGAATGTGAGCCAAAGCCAAAGCCCCACTCCAACTATAAGTGCCCACTAGTCGCCCAAAATAGGTATTATGTAAATACTAAGGACCCCAAGTCCGTATTGTTTTGGTGTATAAGCCGATTCTGTAGGAGCTCGGCCAGACATTACACCTTAAAACCCTAAGCCTTGTAATGTCCCTGGAACAGCCTTGTGAATGCCCTATATAAGTTACCACAAGTATATATGTAAGAGCCTGTGACCAAGGAACGTAATCGTGCGGCTGCGGCCGCCTGCCAGTCCGGATGAGGACCGGATTGCTGACATGCGTTTTTTTGTGCCTTCACAAGGCTTGGACCCCTCTTTTTCTGAATTTTGCAAAGGGTTCACAGCAACCGGGCCCGCTAGAGATTGCTCGGTATGTAATTAAAGGCTTGGGTTTAGGATAGAATCTATTATTATACCCTTACAATGTATAGGTTTTGTTGGCATGTTCGTTGCGTGGTTGTGTTTTTTACTTTTTGGGTTATGCTTTCTTTCATATTCCATTGGGATCTATCTCCCAACGCGCATACTTGCTGCCTACCTGGCCTGGCTTGAGTCCTGATGTCTTCATTCGGCTGCCCTAATATTTGAAAATCCTGGTGCAATCGCCCAGGCATCTCTACCACTCGCGTTGCTGCTGCTGTTCTTGTTTGAACCCCACCCTCCAAGATCGTAACGAGCTAAAGTTGTGGTGCTTTGAGTTTCCTCGACGACCAAACATCATGAACCCGAAGCCCCAGGCCTTGTCTCTGAACCCCAACCATGAACCCTTAACCTAAACCCAAAACTCTGACAAAGTACAACATACAACTTCCCGAACCGGAGAAGTGCAATAGATCTTCACTTGTTGAACCACTCATACCCTGAACCTTAAACCCGAACCTTCCGCGACGCTGGATTGGCTGAGCGCAAGGGGCTGTCGAGAAAAGCTAAACCTTAAACTGCAAAGCTGTGTTGGTTTACATTATATATATATATATAGATAGATAGATAGATAGATAGATAGATAGATATACACACACACACACATGCATGCATGCATATCCACCCAGTTACTTATACCTGCAAAACTCCTTTTTCCGGCCCTGTCTCCTGGTGAGGACATCAGCGAGGTCTTCGCCCTGACGGAGAAGAAAAGCGTGACCGTGAAGGATCCACTGTCCAGGCTCTTTGCAAAGTATAGCTTGACTAGAGACGTTTTTTCGCATCTAAGGTGTTCAGGGTTCTTGGCATAAGAGTTGGCAGCCTGTATTGCATATCCTGCCTTTTTCCTTGGGGAGCCCAGCGAGAATCTGCCTGCACCCGAAAGCGGAACCCTAAAAGCCTCAAGCCCAACCCTAATCGATGGGAGCCCAGACAGTCCGGAGACATCAGAGCTCATCAACTGCTCCTGAGCACAAGAACGCTCGAATGGGGTCCGAAGAAACAGGGTCCCGGGCACTTCGCAGGGGGCGTATGGAGCACAACTTCACCTTCGATCATGTTTTTGCTCCGGAAGATGGTCAAGAAGCAGTGAACCTCTGCAAACATTTACGGCTTCGGTCTCAGGGTTATGGGGCTTAGGGATTTACAAAGGGTGGGTGGATATGTGTGTGTGTGTGTGCGCAAATGTGTGTGTATGTGTGTGTGTATACATATATGTACATGTACATACATACTGCGCTCGTGATGGGTTTATTAAGCATTTAGGCTTCGGGGCTTGTTTCGATAGCCTTTGACCTTTCGGGGATCATATACTCCTACCATGGTGTAAAAATACACGTTAAGAGGTTAGCCTTTCCGGGCTAGGGCACTCAGCCCTCAAGACCAATGCTTGCGGTTCCATGTTTAGGCTTTACATAGGGCGTTCACAATGCACTGTACCCCTCTGGTGAACAGCGCCCTGTCTCTAAGGGTCGTGATATTGGACTCTTCAGAGTCAGCAATCGACACTGTCTGTTTTCCAGGTTCCCACTTTCTGCCCGATGCTTCGGTTTTCGCAGTTATGTGCCTCCTCAGGATTTTGCCTTTGCACGATTTGGCGATTGCAAGTTGGGGTGTAGCGCCTAGGGTTTCTCAACCCATCTGAAACCCTAAGCTCCATGTCGTGACTGCGTGAACCCTGCCACAAGTCAGAGTCAACGGCCAGAACTTATGGTGGATGTGACTTTCTGCTTTATTGAAGCTCCCCCGGTCAGATCTCTACCAGGTGATATGCTCAGCACAGCGTAATGTGGTCCCGGAGTATTAACCCCACCGGTAGTACGAATGATTACAAACGGGAAACTGTGATCAAGGCCCGGATGTGGGAAGAAGGGGGTTTACAAATTCTGGGTCTAAGTTTACTTCGCTGAACCTGTGGGTGAAGAACCTCAAACCCTGAGTCAAAGGTACCAAGCAACTCCACTAGAAAGGACTAAGAAGGACTCCGGTGAAGATGATTACCTGGCAGCCTGTAGATTATATTTTTCATGTTAGACTATAGTATACTGTGGTAGATTATGGTATATCATGGTATATTACACACTAGACTCTACGTACTTGTAACTGCAAGGCCTTTGTGGGAGTCTGAGGTTCGATGTGGTCGCAAAGCCGCTGGTGGACAACTTACTGAATGGATTTAACAGCTGCTGCTTTGCCTACGGTCAGACTGGCAGCTCGGTGTTAGTGTCAGAGGATTCTTCTTGGCTTACCATATGGGGGGGGGGGCGGGGGTCTGAATAAATAGGCATGTTAACCTTTATGGTTCCCCAGTATTTCTGTAGCTATCTATACTATAGAATATAGAAGCTCCAGGTGCGGCTCGTTGGGCAGAAGAATTGAGAATGGGGAGTTTCCGGTTCGGGCTTTAATGTACGGATCGGGACTGTACTTTAGAATATGAAGGGCTTTGGGGGAGAATCGTTCTGTAGAGACTTTGAGGTGATATTCCGAACAAGTTTTCAAACCCCTTGACTAGAGGTTCATGAAGGTATGCATTAAGGGGTTTACGGCTTCTCAGCTTGAAGCAGGGGCGGTCAGGTTTTTAGGTTTTTGGGTCCGACGACTGCCCTAAACCCTAAATGCTTTCACAGATAGTTCTAGCCTCGGCCCTCTTCAGCAGTGGAGTGAGCACGCTTGAATATCTTTGGGTCGTACCATCCACATCTGAATCTAACTCCGTCAGAGGCTGTCCTCCCCAATCCCTGGGTAATCCCGAAGGCCAACTTGAACAAGTGCATAGGATCTAGAGGCTTGGCATTGAATTGCAGGGACGCGGAAGCAGAACAGGTTCTATGTTTGTTTCTGAGTTTGATAGCATAAGCCAGAAAGTTGAATCGTCGTCCTGACTCGCTTACAGTAAAGTATCGGGGGTCCCGGAACTAATCATCCTTATCCTTGCTCCGACTTTCCCGTGGTCCATCGCAGGGCTGGCGAGTCATTGGTTAGTTAGTGATTTATGCAGCAGCATTAATACTGACTGATTTTAGATTCCTTAGAGTTCTCTACTGTAATCGCAGTATAACAGACTCCACAGCCCCATGCCAGCGATTGAGGGCCCCCTGCTACTTTGGGTGCCTGTGTACTTCGGGTTAATCGCCCAAGGGTTTTGGGTGTGAAACATGATATAAGGACTCAGGCAGGAAGCCTGCTTTTGAAAGCATGGTAATGATATTCAAGCCTTTACGAACCTCGAACCGACTGTTCGGGTCAATTGATTGTGTTGAAGCCTCTATGCAGAAGTGAAAACCCTTCTGAAATGCATGAGCGCTCACATGCGAAGCCGTTACACGAAGCTTATATAAGGCCTTTACATCGCCCAAGTGTTACCCTAATTTAGGCGCCTATATCACACACCCACTGTAGGCTCCGGCAAGACACACTCGGTGTTTGGAGAGGGGAACAAGGAGCTGTGGACCTTCGCCGGTGTGCTGCTGTAGGTGCTTAGGGCGTTTTGTAGGGGTCTATAGTCTATAGGGTGTGATTTCCTTTTCCGGGGTTTACCGGTTTACCTGAGATTAGGTAGGGCTTTGAGGGTTTTGGTTCAGGGGCCCCTTGGAAGTCGGTAGCTTCGGGGGTTTAGGGTTCGGCGGTTTAGAGGTTAGGGCTGTCAGCACCATAGAATTCTCAGCGCCCTGAAGCTTCCCAAGCACACTAAACCCTAACCCAAGCCTCGTCAACAAGCCTTCATCGGAAGCCGCGGAACCCCACAACCAGAAATTCAAAAGTTTTCAGCGTTCAGGGCTCATGGGGCGTCGGCTTCAGGGTTCTATAGGGAAGAGTAGTTGCTCATTCGCACCCCCAACCCTGAAATCCCAAGCCCTCGTCGAAACACACTCTTGCAGCAGAAATCCAAAAGTTTAGGGTTTGACTAGTAGGATTTAGGGTGCAGGGTTGAGGGTGGGGAGGACCACACTGCGTGCATAAAACCGCAAGCCTACACCCCGCACCTCGACTACCAATTCACAATGTATCCTAGACCATGACCCCTAAACCGCCCAGCCCTCCATGGTTTAAGTGGGGTTTCACAACCCTCAGGAATATTTCTATCCTATACTTGTCCATGTCTTACCCAGCTGCTATACAACGGAGTACGAAAGCCACTCCAGGAGCAGCGTGGCCTTCTCGCCCGCTCCATTGAGTACCTCTTTGATAGAATTGAGGGGCAGGCGGAGCAGAAGGAGGCGGGGAGGAGTCCTAAAAACCTGATGTTGCTAGGCTAATTTGGGATCCCTTCCGCTTGCGGCATCCCTGAAGCAAAGCCCCGCAGTCTCAAATCTGAATCCCTACGCTCCTTTCCTAGGTAGTTTTTATGGGGAGACCCCTTAAAGGGGACCCTTCTTAGCCTTGCTTATGGCTCTCTCAAAGGGGACCTTATTGAGAGGGTCTACATCCCCAAGGGTCCCCCTATTCCTAACTCCCAGGTATATACAGGGTTTGGGGTTTAGGGTTTTATATGGAGTTCAGGGTTATATAGAGTGTAGGCTAGGTTTAGGGATATAGGGTTCAGGGTTCAGGGTTAGCAGAGCTTTTGGCCCCACGCGAAGCCGAACCGAGTGAAGCCTTAAACCACCAAAGTCCAGATGCCTGGCTCGAAGTCGTAACCCAAGATTTAAGCTTCGAGTTCATATAGGGTTTAGGGCTTTAGGCTATAAGCCCTAAACCCTAAACCCAGTAGGGTTCAGGGGCTACTGTGGGTTAAAGCTGATGCGAGGTCCATAGGATGATATTTTCTTGGGCCCTGAGGGCAGTGTCGCAGGCACCATCCTCCTCGTGGGGGAAACCAGCACATAAGAACCCCCGTTCTGGGAATTTGCAAGTCCCCATTGGTGGGCCCTAAACCCTAAACCCTAAACCTTAGGGTTTAGGGTTTAGGGATTCCCGAATACCTTAACTGTGAGATATTGCTGCCCTGTAGTTCCCGAAGCCCGACTTTAAAGACCCAAAGGGTCCAAAGTACCAATGATATAGTAGAAGGTAGGGTTTCTATACTAGGCATTACTATGATTATGATTGGGGGAAGTATGCCCCATAACAGTACCTAGGACCCTTTGGGAGAAGAAAGCCCTAAATCCTCTCTCTTTGGGCCCTTGCCACCCCGAGATCCGAGGCAAAGGAGCGTCGGATTCAGACTGTCGCAGCCACTGTTCGTCGATCTCCTCTTAAAATTTGGGCCAGCGCCCTTTTCCGCGGACCCCCTAACGTCTAGCTCTGCTAGAGCGACCCCTATAGAACCACCACCACGATTCCGTGGTATGGGTCAGCTACAGACTACGTGCAAATGCGCCGGAGCCCCTCCTAAACCCCATAAATCCTAAACCCTAAACCCTAAACCTTGTAAACCCTATACACCCTAAGCCCTAAACCCTCCAAGCGTAGGAATGCGTGCGGCATTCTGTGCTCTCTGGGGCTTGCGAGTGGCCGGCTGACCCCCGAGCCCGACACCCGAAAAGCCACAAACCCAACAAGCTTCCAGTTTGGGTTTAGGGTTTAGGGTTTAGGGGTAGGGGTTTAGGGGTTTTATAGGCGTTTAGGGTTTAGGGTTTACGGGTTTAGGGTGTAGGGGTTTAGGATTTACGCGGTTTAGGGTTTAGGGGTTTGGGCGGGACTAGGGGATTACAGTTTTGGGATCTAGGGTTCGAGGTCCAGGTGTTGAGGAGGGATTGGGATTGGGTGGCGAATTATGAGTTGCATAGTTGTTGATCCTTCATCTGCGAGATTTGGGGCTTCAGGGTAGTCCTAGACGCTGCACGTCTGACTGAAGCCGACCGAAACAGGCAACTGTCTGCAGGTTTGGAGGTTAGCAAATCCCAGCCTGAGCGCATACCGTTATGGCTTCGGCTGAAGGGGGTTTAGTTTACAGGTCTTATAAGGCCAAGCATAAGACCTGACTCTAACTACCAAACCCTACTTTTCTGTAGGTTCTTAATAGAAACCCTAATATGAAATTTATAGGGACCCTACAAAAAAGTAGGTTTTGGTGGTTTAAGGTGCACCGTCGTGCATGCAGACATGGAAAGCTCGGGGCGCTAGAGGGCTCCATCCCGAAAAAATTGTCAGTATCGCGGTAATATAGGGGCCTAAATAATTAGCAACACTATTTTGGGGGTTCCTTAGAATAAATATTTAAAGCAAAATGTACCGCTTAAGCCTTCTATTCTATGATTATTCAGGCCCCTATAGTATTTCCCTAAAAGCCAGGGAGGCAGGGCTGTGTGCGGAAGTACAGGGCGGTTACAGAGGAGTCATGAGGGTTCACATCGGTTTCGATCACGGCTTTCGGGTCTCAGGTTCAAGGTATCTTCCGGTTTAGGGTTTAGGGCTTAGGTCAATTGAAGTCCCCTCTGGTTTTAGGGGTTTAGGGTTTATAGGGGTTTAGGGTTTAGGGTTTAGGGGTTTAGGGGTTTGGGGTTTATAGGGATCAATCAAGGAAAGGGTCAATGGATTAGGATTAAATGACTCGCGTCCTTCGTCCATTCGCAAGCTTCTTTCTGCAATCCCTTCTCTACCACCAAGCCAATGATTCGACGCTGATCGCCACAAGTGCAAGCCACAAAACAAGCGCTGTTGCGCGTCATGTTGCTTCTGTGTGTGTGTGTGCGCTTCTCACCTCAGGAATCAAGGCCCCTAAACCCTAAGCCAGAAGACCTAAAACCCTAAATCCGAACACCTAAATCCTATACTCTATAAACGACGATGTGCAGATTGAAGCCCCCCACGCCAAGGATGCCTCATGAGAGAGATCTTATGACCATGAAATATGCTGCGTAGAGGGTATCGTTGGGGTGTCGAGGTACGCCTTAAACCCCGAGGCTCTCACCCTTTAAGGAGTTCTACAAATCACACCCAGCTATCAGATGTCCTGATAGCCCAAATCTCATTGCCTGATAAGCTGCACCCAACTGTCCCACGCTGCATGTCTCAGAGTTTCGGTGTTGTGGCCAGGGGATACATCGGGACTTTAGCGGCTACTGTAACGTGTATAGTTCTGATTGCAGGACCTGTAGATGTCGACCTTCAAAAACCGCACAAAGCAGGAATCCACTCTAAACCGTATCCCTCGAGGACGGCCAATATCGAATCCTCTGTGAGAAACCCGAAAACAAGATGCAGAATTCAAAACATGGCCTGACAATGAATCTGCAGCCCTGTACCCTTCTCATAGCTCTGGGCTGGGAGCTTTGGCT